TCATGTAATGTCTCACGGTTTTATGGCTTACCGAAAATTCATTAACCAGATATTCCTTTAAGACCGATAGTAGACTTCACAAACACCCCAACATATGCACTATCGAAATATATTAAAACCATTACAACTCAACTTACATAATATAATCAAAGACACATATGACTTTAAATCAAATTTATCCGGATTAATCATCGAGAAGAATGAAATCATGGTAAGCTTTGATGTCGTTTCTTTATACACAAGTGTTCCCCTTGATAAATGCTTAGAATTCATTAGTGGTTTACTTGAGAACAACATTACTCTTCCTGACAGATGTCCGTCGAGCATCAGTCTAATCATGAGATCACTAAAACTCTGCTTAAATTCAACTCTATTTACTTTTAACGGTATTTTATACAAACAAACTAGCGGTGTAGCAATGGGATACCCGCTGTCTCCGATTGTAGCCAACCTTTTTATAGCATACATAGAACCAAATATCTTCGCGCACAACATTATACCATGAATTTGGCTTGGATATGTAAACGATACATTTGTTGTTCAAAAAAAGACTCATCTAAGATCTTTTTCAAAACGAATAAATACACTTTTATCGCACATCAAATTCACGAATGAAAGTGAAAATGAACGTGGTGAGCTACCATTCTTGGTTTGCTTAGTAAAAAGAAATCCAAATGGAATTCTAAACCTATTCATTTACCGAAAACCGACGCACTCAAATCGTTATATTGACTTTCAGTCAGCACATCCTTTCAGTTCTAAGATCTAGCCAGCCTCAAATCTTTTTAGAAGAGCTAACAAGATCATCACATCAAAGGAAGACAAACAAAAAGAACAAATGAATATAATTAGCATCTTAAAATTTAATAATTTTCCTATGAAGATTATTAGAAGCATATTAAAACAAAACAGTTTATTACATTATAATAATGATTCGAATGACATGCCTTGGATTGGTACTGTAGTCCTACCATACTGTCATGGCACAACAGAAGAAATTCAAAGAATCTTAAAACATTACAGAATTAAAGTGTATTACAAAACAACGAACACACTACGGAATACTTTAGTTCGTCTGAAAGAAAAAATCCCTTTAATGTCCACACAGAACTGCGTCTACAAATAAGGTTGTATCGATTGTGATGCCTATTATATTGGAGAGTCATCCCGCGAAATCGTGACTAGAGCCAAAGAACATATTAGGTGCACAAAGAAAACCTCCTAACAATCCTGTAGAATTGAACCAACTTCAAATTAAATCGGCAATAGCAGTTCATGCCATTTTCAACAACCTTTCTTACTTACTTACGCCTGTTACTCCTCGTGAAAGAGCATAGGCCGCTCACCAGCATTCTCCATCCAACTCTGTCCTGGAAAATCCTTTTCAGCTTTTTCCAGTTGCTATTCATCCTTTTCATATCTGCTTCTATTATCCGACGTAATGTGTTCTTAGGCCTTCCACTTTTCCGTTTCCCTTCAGGATTCCAAGTTAGGGCTTGTCTCGTGATACAGTTTGATGATTTGCGTAATGTATGTCCTATCTATTTCCATCGTTTTTTCCTAATTTCTTCTTCAGCTCAAAGCTGATTTGTTCTCTCACACAAAAGGCTGTTGCTGATGCTATCCGGTCAATGGATGTTGAGTATCTTGCGTAGACAGCTATTTATAAATACTTGTACCTTCTTGATGATGGTTGTTGTAGTTCTCCCAGTTTCAGCTTCGTACGGTAGAACTATCTTGACGTTGGTATTGAAGATTCTGACATTGATATTAGTTTGAAGTTGTTTTGAGTTCCATATGTCCTTTAATTGTAGAAATGCAGCCCTTGCTTTGCCAATCCTCGCCTTTACGTCTGCATCTGAGCCTCCTTGTTCATCGATGATGCTCCCCATGTATGTGAAGGATTCTACATCTTCCAGAGTTTCGTTCTGAGCTGTCGATTGTATGCCGTGTTTTCCCTCAGATGTCGAGGTCCTCATAATCCAGTCGACCACCAGAAGAAAGAGGAAGGAAGAGAGTAAACAGCCTTGTCTGACTGTCGTCCTTACTTGGAATATATCTGTCAGCTTTCCTCCATGCACGACTTGATGAAGTGTCCTTCTTTCCAGTCCATCGGCACTTGTCCCTCCTTCCAAATCTTTTTGAATAGAAGGTAAATCATGTTTGTAGTCAATTCGATGTCTGACTTCCGTGCTCCAGCTGGTATGTTGTCCGGTCACGCTTCTTTCCCGTTCTTGATGTGTATGACGGCCATTCTGATTTCTTCCTTCGTTGGTGGGTTGACATCTATGGGAAGATCTGTGTGTGCCGCTTCGATGTCCGGTGGATTCATTGGAGCCGGCCTATTCAGGAGTTTCTCGAAGTATTCTACCCATCTGCTCCGCTGTTGTTGAATTTCGGTGATTGGCTTGCCTTCTTTGTCTTTGACCGGTCTCTCTGGTTTACTGTATTTCCCTGATAGTTTCTTCGTTGTATCGTAAAGCTGTTTTATGTTTCCTTCCCTTCCAGCTTTTTTCGCCGTCGTTGCTAGTTCTTCCACGTATTTTTTTCTTGTGGGCCCTAATGTTTCTCTTCACTTGCTTATTTGATTCTGTGTATTCAGCTTGTGCTTGGACTTTCTCTGCTCGTGTTCGGCTGTTGTTAATTGCTGTCTTCTTGTTCTTTCTTTCTTTGGTTCTGTCCAGTGTTTCTATAGAGATCCGTTGAGTATGATGATGTTTCTTGAGGCCCAAAACCTCTTGACACGTTGAAGTTAATGGTTCTTTGATACCTTTCCAGTTGCCCTCCATAGTAGTTTCTTCTTCCTTCAATAGATCCTATAAGGCTTGGAACCTGTTATTGAGAGCAATCTTGAATTCAATGAGTCTGTCAGTATCTCGAAGGAAGGCTGTATTGAACATTTGTAGTGCTGTTTGTCCACTTGTCCAGTTCTTTTTTAGCTTCAGTTATAAATTGGCCACAACTAGGTGGTGATTTGAAGCTATATAACCTCTTCTTCTGGTTCTCACATCTTCCATTGTCCTTTGGAATTTTTTATTGATGCAAATATGATCTATCTGGTTCTCTGTGTTGTGGCCCGGTGAGCCTTATGTATATACGTTTGTGTGGAAATATTATGCCTCCAATGACCAATTTGTTGAACACACATAAATTTGCAAATCTTTCTCCATTTTCCTTTCTCTGTCCCAGTCCATGTCGTCCCATAATATCTTCATATCCGGTGTTGTCTATTCCGACTTTGGCATTTTGATCTCCCATTAGAATGGTGAGGTCTTTTCTTGGGCATTACTCTATGATTGACTGCAGCTGCTCATAGAATTGATCTTTAATGTCGTCGTTGCTATCATTGGTGGGTGCATAACATTGGATAATATTCATTTAAATCCCCTCCTTCTTTGTTTTGAACGATGCTTTGTTGATTCTGGATCCGTGAGATTCCCATCGTACAAGTGCATTTTGTGCTACTTTGGACGGCATTAGAGCGACTCCCCGAGTGTGTGGAGCACTTTCCTTTTCGTGACCGAAGTACAGTAGCATCTCTCCCTTAGCTAACCTTTTCTGTCCAGCTTGGGTCCAGTGAGTTTCGCTGGTTCCCAGTATTGCCAAATTGTATCTCCTCATTTCCGTTGCTATTTGACTTGTCTTCCCGGTCTCCCACATTGTTCGAACGTTCCATGTACCTACAAACATTTTTGCTCTGGTTGTTAGAAGGGGCATCGGCCACGTGGCCTCCGAAGGAACTCGACTTTAACCATGAAGCGTCTTAATTCTTCTAAAAGAAGACATTCTATCTACCAGGGCAGAATAAAAATGGTTTGAATTATTTTTTATGGTAAGCGTTTTTTTAGCGAGTTAGTTTTCTACGGGATGGGGAAGCTAACCCCATGCCCAACTCTCCTCCTTTACCGGGGCTTGGGACCGGCAGTAACTCTAGAAGAGCTAAAGGCGGAGTTATTTTCAACAACCACCAAACCGATTTTAAAAGTATCAAAATATTGCAGTAAAGCTTTTCCAACTACAAAGAAAGGAGGGTAGCCGAGGCGTTCCATATAATGCTTAATCCTAATTCTCTCAATAAAAAAGAAGGTTGTACGATACATCCTACTTGGTCCATCTATCCTAACCATTCAGTCTGATCATATTCACAATTTCACACTATCATATTACGAATTTAAATTCTCTCCTTTTTACCATAAAGGTCACACAGGTTTTCATTTCTGAAAAATGCACATATACATACGCACAAATTTACATACATATAACTTATGAATCATCTTGACAGAAATGACAAGACACCAACTTGTTCAGACTTATTTTTGATTGATCAAATATAATTCTTGCACTGTTCCGTTGTACTATTTAAACTTGGATTAATTTTAATTTGGTTATTTATGCTCTGAAGAAGTGATTTACACTTAATCACGAAACGTCAGAAAAATCTAATTTTCTACTCATTGGGATATTACAAATATATCATTTTTATTTATAGATCAAAGAAAGTTAATCTGATGTAGTGCATTTCATATGATCATTGGAGGGTTCGTTAATCGATCACAATTATACTTTTAATCATCGATCTGCATCTTCATATGTGTTCTACGATCTGTATTGTGATATGTATACATCGAATCACTGCTTTTTAATGAACAGAACTTACACATAATATTTGTTGTTTTGGCATCAATTGAATAGGAATTTTGATCCTTCATTTTCACATTCGCAACGCTGATGAACAGAACTGTATCATACGAAACAAATGTTTGCTCTCTTGTAGGATTTCAGATCACTGATACAATGTTAAGTATAATAATCGGAGAAGAATTACGGACAAAACTAAAACCTAGCACAGTAATGTTTAGAAGAAGGCATAGCATTTCCATTTACAATGTTGGGTCTCACTGAAGCAGAAAACAAATCTCATCGGTTTTCACGTACGAGGACTAGATGAAACTCAAACGAAGATACAATCAATATCGATTTACATAAACTACTATAAATGCCGTTCAAAGTATATACACACTACATGCTTTGTCATCACAGTTGTTAGTGAATAAAGTTAAGTATGTTCAGGTGTCACTTGAAATAGATCATTATACACAACGGTTTATAACTCCGCTTCATCAATGATGTATGAACAGACTTTATAATTCGTTATCGTACAAATATGCAACTCTGTTTAAGTGAATTGAATAGAACACGCAAAACAATGTCATCCTCGAATTCTTCTCAAAATTATTATTAATTCATGAATATTCACACGCACACCAAAATAACACCACATATTTCAACTTATGGTCCCCACTGCAAAACACAACACAAGTTACATAATCCATTAATCCCGTACACACGAACATTGTGAAGAAAAGTGGTACGACCCGTCACATTCTGTTTCTGTCCTCATAAGGTTATATGAAGACAGGCAATCGACTAGCTTATTGACCTGCTTGTTTGTTTTCAAAGCTCTTGTCTGGTTGGTCGTTTCTAGTTCATTCTCATTATGTGTCCATATTTATTATAGTATAAATACGAATCGGTTCCAGTTCAGTCAACTGGGCAATTCTTATGAAATGTAAGTGTTGATTAGCAATTATATATTGACCTATACTTATTATTTCGATAAGCGTCCTACACTTTACATTGATGAGTTCCACTTCTCATAAATTTTCACGAGAAATCATGAAATGGCATCAGAAAGCTAGTCACATTCTCACATGTGACCCAATATCGTAAGTTGCATTTTGTGTTGCTGGGTCGTAGATGCAAACGAATGCTGAATAGTCTCGTGTTGAGACAAACCAGTGAAAAAGTGATGCCCGGTTTTCAGTAGTGATCTGTCTGAGATCATTTCGTGGATTCCACTAAAAATTTTAAAATCTCTATAAAGCTCTGTATTGATATGTTTTGATGAAGAGACAGATAAGTCAGGAGTGTGACGACCAAGTTCTCAATGTGCTTGCCATATTTAGATCAATGCTTGCAATAGTATTGAAATTCGTGACCATCAAACGTATTGGATAATAATAAAAATGGATTTGAATGGGATCGTGAATGTGCAATGTTGAGGAATCTCATACTAGGCAGAACGGTCGTCCAATGCTAGCACGAATGCAATGCTCATCTAGCATAGATGGACTCATGAATTCAAATGTTAGAATAAATTTTTGTTAGAAAAATACAAATACAAATACAAATTGAGTTGTCGCAACGTGAACGAGAAATGAGGTTATCATGTGATGCGTGTTGAAAGAGCTGGCATATCAAAGAACATTGTTTTGATGAAATGAATTTGTTGATTATGTTTCGATTAAACGATGTTTGACGATATTATACACCTCGATGAAGTTACACTTTGGTCAATTCACACTAAATTGCTCATCATTTTTACTATTTAGCTGACATGTTTACAGTGTTAACGATAATTTCGGGGGCAGTCATTCTCACTCTGAATTGTGTGATGTGTCTGGACAATGGGTTGGCTAGAACACCACCAATGGGATGGAACGCATGGCAAGTATTCGGCTGTCAGTTGAATTGTCAGTTGTATCCAAACAACTGTCTTAATGAGAATGCAATCAAACGAACAGCTGATAAACTGGTATCGGATGGTTGGCGAGATTTGGGTTATAAATATGTGATACTTAATGATTGTTGGTTAGCAAAACAACGTGATCCGATAACGAATAGCCTTATGGCAGATCCTTCAAGATTTCCCAGCGTAAGTTTATGCGTGTATTGTCTGGAAAATGTGCACAATTTTCTCATTTATATTGAGCACAATTGGATTATAGAAAGTATATTAGCTTTGTGTTTGTAAGGCCTCCAACATGATGATATCCTAGTGTGGTTGTGAATCATGTAGAGTTTTCGTTAAAATAATCATTGATATTTGAATATCCTGTTCGCTAATCTCTATGATGCGTTGCACTTCCAGGGTATGAAAGGCCTTGGACAATATTTACATTCGAAAAATCTGCTGTTCGGAGTATCTATTGGTTATGGAACTCTGACTTGTTCAGGTTATCCAGGTAGTAAGAACTTTCTCGAATTGGATGCAGAGACTATGGCTGACTGGGAAGTGGATTACGTGAATATGAACTCATGTATCGGTCGTGATCACGTGAAGCCTGATGGTTTCAAAAAATTCTCTCGACTACTTAATGGAACTGGAAGACCTATGATGTTCTCGTGTACATATCCTCTGTATGAAACAAGGTATACAAAAGCTAAATCTGTTGACTGGAACCCATTAAAAAAGTACTGCAATCTAGTTCATGCTCTGCCCAATATTTATAGTAGTTGGGGATCTGTATTCAATATTATAGATGGATATAAACTTCGCAACGATATTTTGCCGGAAGTGGCTGGTCCCGGACATTACAATGATCCCGATATGTTAGTCTTGGGAAACAACGGACTTTCGAATGACGAAAAGCGAGCTCATATGGGCATGTGGTGTATGTTTGCTGCCCCACTGGTGATCTCAGCTGACATGGACAAGGTGGATCAATTCAGTGCATCTCTGTTACGTAACAAACATTTGTTGTCAATAGATCAGGATAAAGGTGGACATCAGGCGGAATTCGTGAAATCACGAAATGATGTACAGGTGAGTTGATGCATTAGATTGAAATTCTTATACACAAGTCTTGAGATACTTTAACCTTATCAAAGCAATTGCTGTCTATGTGTAAAATGTTTATCAGTTGAATCGGTTTCATCAATCTGTTGAACTTGCCATATTTAATGTTCAGCAAACCAGCATGTAAATAGACATTGTTTGTGGAGTTGGCGGTAGTGTCGCTCCAAGTATTTCAATTTCGAATTGTAATGACAACGACCTAAATCACTGAATCGGTAATATTTTCATTAGTCTTCGTTGCTTCTTCCTAGTGTAATCACAAACTTTTGACGGCTGTCCTCGAAAACCAATGTCCCGATTGAGCCCTTTGAATTAACACGTAACTAGTATACTTTTAAAATGTCATAAATCCAGCTCAATACATTTAAATATGTGTATCTTCATCAACTCCGCCTGTAGCTCTTCTAGAGTTACTGCCGTTTCTAAGCCCTGGTAAAGGAAGAGGGTGAATAACAACTGGGAAAAGCTGGAAAAGTTGTCCCAGGACAGGGCTGAATAGAGAATGCTGGCGAGCGGCCTACGCTCCTTCACGAAGAGTAACAGGCGTAAGTAAGTAAAATCTTCGAGGATATTTAGTTTTAAACTCTCCTTTGAATGTGTTCAGATATTTTTCGCTCTGTTGTACTGTCACAGCAAGTGAGATCATTATTCAACTATGCAATCTTAAACAATATTCACGGCCTTATTTCTGAACAACTTCAACCACATATAGTTGGAATCAGGACATTGTGATTTACGGATACGTAGGCTGTTTGGCGAGCTGTGACTCTTACAGTAGCTCAAGCAATATAATATGACCTCCCATTATTTTATCGGATAATGTATGCACTGTTAATCGGACATAGTCAACAACATCTATTTCGGAAGACAATTCAATATGAGCCTATCTGATATACTGGTAAACATTCTCATCTGATAATGTAGATGACTGTTCATCTGGCACTATCCAAAACACTATGCAAATTCCAAATCGCACGACATTACCCATTTAGTTCTGTAATAGTCTCTTTCTACTTCTTACTATCGGCAAATATGACAGGATGAAATGAAATTTTTATTTGCCGATGTAAGTAAAATCAGCAAGATAACTTCATTTGTTCACAAATTTCTTTTCATATAGTTGTGGATACGAAAATTAGATAATTGTCCAGAGGGTTGGGCAATCGCTTGCATCTACACAAAGTTTGATGGAGGACCAATCGCATTTAGTACAAATCTTGATGAATTCAAATCACAGATGTATACAATATCAGGAGATAAGTTTGAATTACTGGATGTATTCACTGGTGTTATATTCAAAAACGTGCAATTGACAGAGAACTTTACAATTTCCATCAATCCATCTGGAATTATGATGTTTCGAGTAAATCCATACCAATAAATTGATGGATGTTTCCGTCTCGTGGATTCTGTTAACCTCAGTTCATTTCACAATAGTTCTGTGATTTTGACTGAACAGTTATTAGATGCGTCATTAGTGAATTATTATTCATGGGATAATGGTAATAAAGTTTATCAATTCTAACTGATTTCATTCAAGAATACTTCGTTTGTTCTTTCTTGTTTGATTATAAAATAATTTTGAGTAATTGGGAGAAAGAGAACTTATAATAATCAAAGGCAATCCGCGCAGACTGCACATAAACCCATTAGAGACTGATCAATTGCAATTACAAACATCAATGGGAAGATTCAAATTAACAAGAGCAAGTGAATTTAAACTTCTCCCGATTGCACAGGGAAGTGTTTGTCAGGACTCACTATGTAGGTGAATAACGCGATGGCATTCGAAGAGAACGGCAGTGAGTTCGAACCCCACAGTGGACAAAACTGTGGTATGCAGGTACACTCGACTGACGAGTCTCGATTAGGATGATACACTCGTTCTGGATTCTATTGCTAGTCACCATGTTGCATTATTTTCATAATCCTTCTGTCACAACACAGGTATAATCTCATCTGAATTCGTGGGTTATTGTCATTTGCGAAAATACTCGATTCTATGTATGAAATAAAGAGGTTGGCTACAATTGGCGATACGGAGGACCACACTGCTACACCGTTGGCTTGTTTGTATACTATCTCGTTAGAAGAAAATATTGTCTAATTTAGGCATAGTTGTAAGGATTTTATGATCAGACTAATGCTTGATGGATATCTGTCAGAAATAATATTGTCGTCCTCTAGTAAACCACTGATGAATCCTAAGCATCTATCAATAGGAATAATACTGTGTAATGCTACAACACCATAGCTCACCATGATTTCATTCTTTCCGATGATTGATTCCTATATTTTTGATTTAAATCCACAGAGCTATAATTGATTAGGTGTCCGGAACACTCCATGAATTATCACACCAGAACTGATAGGAGAGAAAAACTATCGATGACAATTAAAATCCCGAGCCTATTCAAATGAATGATTGTCGGTGTTTATTACTGGTAATAGAGTAAATATAGATTAAGGAAACAAACTTGCGTTCATTCAAAATGACACGTTCCTACAAACACTGGATCAATTGTCTAAATAACGGTTGGCAGATAGTAAACATTTAATAGGATTTTCTTGATCTCGCAAAATGATCTGACAAAACAAGTCGTACTATTGAAATGTTGAGAAAGGCTCAAAGTGACAATTCTTCTTCATAACATTGATGTGTTTTTCTATGTCCACTTTCAAAATTGCTGATCTGCATAGAGTATATGACAACAATTGCAACAGGTATTATTCCCAAATGATGTCACTCTCAATTTGGGAATTACCTGAATACACGATAATACGTATTGGTTAAAGACAATTGACTGACATGATCAGATATACCAGCATGCACACAATAGAAGTACGAGACAGATCAAGACAACAAGATCTTAGTGATTGCATATACAGTGAATAAGACCGTTAAAACTTAGTGCTTTGACTGTATACAGAAGATGTAGCCAAGCTACAGAGTTCGAGAGATTTTGTGCGAGCATCTTTGGTCTCTGGAAATGCCAATAAAGTCTCACGTAATTACTCAGTCCTGTTAACACTCGTCGGAAAGCATAGACCGCTAAACAGCATTCTCCATCCAACCCTGTCAGTTGCCATTCATTCTACTCATGTCTGCTTCCAAATCTCGACGCAGTGTGTTTGTTGGCCCTCACTTTTCCATTTATCTCCATGATTCCAAATAAGTGCTAGCTTTGTGGTGCAGTTTCATGATTTCCTCAATGTGTGTCTCATTTACTTGCAACGTCTTTTCCTAATTTCCTCTTCAAATGGTAGCTGGTTTGTCCTCTCCCCAATAGGCTGTTGATGATCGTATCTGGTCGACGGACATTCAGTATCTTACGTAGACCATTGCTTGTAAATACGTGTACTACCTTGATGATGAATATAGTAGTTCTCACACTTTCAGCTCCATACAGTAGAACTGTCCTGAAGTTCGTATTGAAGATTGTGTCTTCGATATTGGTTGATAGATGGTTGTTTTGAGTTCCACATGTTCTTCAACTGTAGGAATGTTGCCCTTACTTTTCCAACCCTCACCTTTACATCCTCATCAGATCCACATTGCTCATCAATGATGCTGGTCAGACACGTGAAATTTCAACGTCTTTCAGAGTTTCTCCAATAAGTATGACTCGGTCGGTGTTTTCGATGTTGTAATTCAGGATCCTGCTTTTACTCTTGTGTTTGTTGGGGTTAGAGAAATACAAGGAATGATGTAGATCTAAACTAGATGACATTGCTAGCCAACACATCATTTTACTATGATATTATAAGTAATTAGTTTCGATATCTTAACTAGCAATACATATAATTTTCAATTCATGCTCTATCAGTCACGCACAGACCAGCATTCAATTCAGACAGAACTTGTTCTGATAACCGTTACCACGTAACCCTTAACAGTGTATGCATTTCGAAGCATAATAAGAAGTGTCAAGCAGTTCATTTCACTAAACCACAAACACACGCAACGAATTCGAGCAAAAATGCTAATGTGAGTGAATGCTGACGAGCGAATACACAGCCAAATTAAAAGTCGAGTCAATTGATAAGATTCAAACACATATAAGGAATTGAACTATTCATTGAGTGATTTTCGCAATTAGCATTCAATCTGGTAAGAGGGATGTGTGTGCGGACTGTCACGCTTGACCGAACTTACTTGTTCACGCAGACGTGATAATGATGATAATAATACAAAGATATGAAAAAATCGTTAGTACTCGAATAAAACTGCTTGTTAAACACGTTACTTGAAGCATGTAGTGTCTCCTACTATGTTAAGCCCAATTAATTTAGTCTAGCTTCTGTACAGGTCAATTTATTTGTTACACTTGTGTCACGATTTTGCCTTGTGAATTATTCATTCATCAACCCTATCTGATTTTATATGAGTGTTTATATGTACATCTTTTCTCACTCATCACATGTCGGTAATTTATATTTGGATGTCTATAAATTTCGATTTACGCTTGAGTAAGAACAGTTGGATCACATTTCCTCTCCATTGCACGTCACATCGATTCACTCTTATTGCTTCGCTTCCTTCGCTTCGTCCCTCTGATTGCCGGTCCAGATCATTGAGTGTACTAAATATATGTATTCAAACATCCATTCTCGTATTTGACTTATTTAATTCTGTTATCCACTAACGCGAGTTAAGTCGATAATTATATAGGAGGATAGGCGAAATTTATATTTCAACAACAATAGTCATACGATCTAGGTTGATTCATACCCCGAGCCACAAAACGGCTTTGAAAAATCTAAACGTAGACAGATTTATGTGTAGTTGAGATGATATGATGTCAAGCTCATGTAAAAGAGTGTTATCTTTACGCCGATTAAACAACGACAGAGAATCTATTACAGTCACCGTCAACAAGGTACACATATCCATACATACCTACCAAAGCATTTACACTGCTAGAACAGAGTCTAGGGACTTTTTTTGATTCTACGTACATATCCCAAAAGGTATCAGTCCAATGGGATAAAATGCCGTCAGCAGTGTTACTGCAAAATATTTCTGTGACACAGCGCATAAGGGTTTATTGTTAGAGTTCAGGACAGAAACCGAATTTTTTCACGATCATCGATCTACAGTCAAATTACATTCGTCGTGAAATCTCGATAGGGACAGCCATCAAACGCCTCAAGTCGGACTAATGCATTCGATAGGAAGCAGTTGCAAATATTCCTTTATCATGATGACTTTTATGTCAGTTTATTACGTTTTTCTTCCTTCTCTTATTTATATCACTTCCTTCCATTTTGGAATTTTGTATTCCACCTACTGATCTTATCTCATGTCGCTCTTAATAGTTAATAATTTATGGTTAACTACCACATTGTAAATTCTTTTACCTGTTTCACTTCCATAAATTCTTGTTTCTATCCCAATCTCCTGATATCGTGTGAACATTTATCATTTTTTGTGAAATTTTGTGAAAATGCAACAAGAACTCCCTAAATACGTCCTCTGTACTGAAGCATTTTTAAAAAGCGTCAAGTTATTTTGAGGGACTGACCAAATTGTTTGAGTAAATTTCGTGTCTCATACCAATATTTCTAGAAGATTTCTCAGGCTTTGTGGAAAACTACGATTTTTCATATAACTTTCAGGAAAGATCAAAAATTTCACCAAAATCTGGAGACTGGGATATCTGACAATCTAGTTTTCTGTCAAACAACATATTTCTTCACCACAATCATAATACATCGTGATGATATACATCGAAATACTGTTTTGCTCAATTCTTTGTTCTTGTTCATTTGAAGATAATAAAGGATACTACGTGGGTAATATGAACTACGTAACAGCCTGCTGAAATCATAAGTCATGCAACAGATTCTGACGTCAACTTCAAATAATTTAAATGATTCTGAAGTTGTCACATTAGAATCAATTCAAGAATTGACAATAGAGGTCTCAGCCAAGCACAAAAACTGAAACATAAACAAACGATTTGTCAATACAATCATTAAATCAGTTGAAACATCATAAGTAATACAGTTTGTAGACCTTAATTCATCAGGTTGATAGGGTAGTCACATCGTTCGAGGTTTCATAAAAGATGTAGCAATAAGAATCATTTAATAAACAAACGATGTTATCTCAATTTAGCCAATGCACTCACTCATCATCCCCAAACGAGAATCATACACACAAATCAAGAACGTTTTTACAAACAAATACAAACTGAGAGAACACCTGGACAAGAAAATCATGTGTTTGAAATGTTACACTTACAATAGTAAATATACTGTAATGAAAAGCGATTCACATCACACCACACATGAACTACTCAGCAGTAGTAAGTAATATACTGGAGTACACAGAACTTAAGAACAGAGAGTGATTGGTATGGAAACAAAGAAACAACCAAGTGTTAGACAGTTGATGGATATTTGACAAATGAAGTATTTACTGTATGGTTCTAAGATTTTACCATGATATTCTGTAATGTTGTGTTA